TTAATGATATGCAGCCCAGGGTTTAATGAGGATTCCACAGTGTCTTCAGAGTCTGAGACTCCTGTCTGTTTGCTCCATCATTCTAGCTCACGTCTTTCATATTCAAGGTTACCTCATGACCCAAGATGGCAGCTGGAGTCCAGCAATCACATCCCAACTGGAAGTCAAAGGAAAGAAAACAGCCAGAGGGAAAAAAGGACTTTCCCAGCTGGTTCAGCTCCCTTTAAGCAGCCTGCCCAGAGGTCCCAAACATTTCTCTTTAAGTTTCATTGACCAGAACATACCAACAGCTGGCTTTGAGGGAGACTAGGGAAAGTAGTCTTACTCTATATAGCATGTGGCCATCCTTTGATTAGGCAACAAGTAGCCTTGTGATCAGAGGAGCTTCCTTGGTGGCTCAGATGATCTGCCTGCAATGCAGGAGACCTGAGTTTGATCCCTGGGTTGGAAGATCTTCTGGAGAACAGAGCGATATCACAACCATAGATCCAATCCCATCACTTATGCCTCCTATTCCCTGGAGGTTTCCTAGCCCTGAGTACTCCTCATGTAGAGTAGAGTTAAAACCACAATGGAAGCCAAGTGTCCCTAAAGTGATGGTTGAGAAGCACAGGCTCTACAATAAAAGCCTGACTAGAGAACCAGGCTGAGGCTGGGAAGACTAAAACCCTTTACTCCCATCCTCCAGAGCTGGAAATGCACACAAGCCTGATTTAGCTATTTAACTGCAGAAAAAACGACAGTTAAACTGAAAGACAAGAACAAGCACTTATTAAGGAAAATGTTCACTGGGAAGGCAAACGGTTGACTTTGACAGATCAGATTAGGAATTCCTCCTCCTGTGAGAAAGTGCTGATAAGGGAAACAGCATATGTGGAGGATCCTATCTCAACATTAGCTCTCTTACTATAGGTGTTCATATTATGCTGAATGTTTATCTAGCCATACATATAGATGTATAAATAAGCCTGTTATTACATGCACATGGATATATTCTCTATCTTTATATATTCCATGTACTGTATGCATTACCGTGCATAATGTTATAACTCTGAGCTTTGCAATCAATGGGCCTGGAAGGATTACAGTTGTGCTGAGATACTGGATCTGTGGCAACCAAAGTTTTAGCGGATCACCTAGACCCAAGAGCAGACTCTCTCTGTGTTCCACCGTGTTCTACAGACATTACCAGATGCAATGTACACTCTGACTCAAAAAATGCTGGCAGTCACTGCTAAAAATTCATTTATTTTAGACAATGTCATGGTATATACCATGAGAATATCACTTTTAAGTGTCATTTATCCATGCTGGGAAATAAGTATAAACTCAAGTTAGTTGTAGGTTCCAAGCCATACTTGATTGAAATGCTTTGCTAACCTGGGCTCTTGATCAGGGGTCAGTGGATAGAAGTAAGAACTAGTCAGGCTAAACATAATTAAGAACCAAAAGCTCCTTAGCCTCTGGACCAAAGAACTTTAATAAGATAAATGAAAAGACCAGGTAACTCCAAGAAATTATAGTGTTACTGATAATTTTGACACCGTCTATAATAAAAAACAGAACCAAGAGCAGTCTTCCACTACTTGGATGTTTCCAGTAGGGTTTCTGTGAAGTTCTGCGAATAATGCCTCAGCATTCAAATGGCATCTTTTGCCCCACATCGCAAACAGTCTACCTTATTCATTATTTAACACTTTGGCCTTTACTCTACAGATGGGCAAAATGATAAACTTTAATGATTGTTAACAGCGGAGTTTCATTCATGAACCAAGCTTTGAGGGCTCAGTAGCTTCATATGTTATTTTGCTCAAATGTAGACTAGAGAACAAATATTTCTCCCCAAAAGTATGCTCAGCAAGATGTTCAGAAGCCAGTTCAGGTGGGTGTGGCTGTGGGGATAAAGAGGAGGAGCTTTCAGTGATCATGGCACCAAATGACATGGCTTCTTTTGACAGTATGTGCCATCTGCAAGTGTGGACCATAGGCAGAGCTGTAACATAGAAATGTGCACACACCTATGTTTAACTCGCTTATAGGTTTTTTTTTTTTTTCCAGTTTAACAAATGAACTAGTACTTAGAAGATATTGGCAATTATTGTTGATTATCATCATCACTATTATACTGCTTTTGGATATATTTTTGAACTCTGTGTTCATTTTTGACTGGCAGTAGAAATGACAGTCCAAACAAGCTGGTCCTAAGGAACAATCATTTATTCATGAAAGAATTATGAGTACATTTTTGGCCTCTATCATATGCCAGAGGCATGCATGCTACTGCTGCTGCTGCTAAGTCGCCTCAGTCGTGTCCGACACTGTGCAACCCCAGAGACGGCAGCCCACCAGGCTCCCCCGTCCCTGGGATTCTCCAGGCAAGAACACTGGAGTGGGTTGCAATTTCCTTCTCCAATGCATGAAAGTGAAAAGTGAAAGTGAAGTCGCTCAGTTGTGTCCGACTCATAGCGACCGCATGGACTGCAGCCTACCGGGCCCCTCCATCCATGGGATTTTCCAGGCAAGAGTACTGGAGTGGGGTGCCATTGCCTTCTCCATGCCAGATGCATAGGAATGACTTAATGGGAAGATCTCTGTAGAAGAAAAGACTTGCTAAAATCACTGGAGCACAATGCAGTAAGCATCATTAGATAAGTCAATGCAGAGAATTCATCCTAGGGCCAAAAATATATCAGGATCAGGTTCATCTCTTTAAACAGAAAGCCCCAAGTAACAGTGACTCAAACCAGATAGTTTGTCATAATTTTGAGAAAAAATAAAATTTTGAATTTGACATTCCAGGGTTGATATAATGATATTGATATAATGATTTCTTAGTCATTAGGAAATTTTTTTCATCATTTAAATGTGGTTTCTATCCTCAAGTTTGCCACATAGTTCAAGATAACTGCTGGAGTTCCAGTCATCACATCCATGCTCTAGTAGGCAAGAAAGGGAAAGAAATACAAAAATGAAGGCACCCGAATCCTAGCAATGTCAGCTACCTTTACGGACCCTTTCCAAAGTTTCACATAACACTTTTACTCACATCTCACTGACTAGAACTTAGCTGTGTGATCTTACCTGGCTACAAAGGAGGGTGGAAAATGTAGTCTTTTACCTGGGCACATAATTGCTGGGAATAAAACAGTTTCTGTGGTCATGGAAGGAGGTAGCACGTGGATATTAGGAGGATACTGGTTTTTAAGAAGAATATCAGTACAAATTCTCCCCAGAAGTATGGGACTTATCACTGGAAATAGAGAAAGAATAGCCAGGAATGTAGGGTTAGCTTTAAAAAATTTTTTTTTCTTTTTTAAATTGAGATATATAGTTGAATTACAATGTTGTGTTACTGCTGTACAGAAACGTGACTCAGTTACACACACACACACATTCTTTTTCATGTTCTTTTTCCTTATGGCCTATCATAGGATACTAAATATAGTTCTCTGTGCTATTGAGTAGAACCTTGTTTTTTATCCATTCTAGTATACCAGTTTGCATCTGCTAATCCAAACTCACTCCCAATCCATCCCTCTCCCACATCCTTTCTCCTTGGCAATCACAAATCTATTCTCTATGTTCCATATTAAAAAAAAATTGCCTATTTTCTCAATTATGACGATGATTTATTTTTAATATTGTTTAGTGTTATTGTACAATGTACTGTCGGATACTGCTTTCTTCAATTGTCTGGAAAAAACTGTGACCCCATGAGGGGAGAAAGCTCATGTTACAGAAGATAAGGGTGAGTGCTCACTTACTTGCCCTGAAGAGCAGTAGCAGCTGGGTTTCCTATCCTCTGAACAGCACTGGAAGGGTTAACCAGCTAGGGCTTACCCAGGACTAGAAGATGAAAACCAGTAGGCTGGGATATTACTTTTATTGTGTTGACACAGATGCATTTTTGTAAGGATTTATAAGAAACTTTTAATTTTTCAAAATACCCTGCCTCTTGCTTTTCAAATTCCATTTTACTTATGTATGTGTCATCGACCCTGCAGCCTCACCGGGGGGAGAGCGACAACAAAAATACTTCTCTTTTCTTTGAGGTTTTACATTCGTGGGGAACATTTTTACTGAGTCAATAAATTGCTGCTTACCAGTGAGGGTTCCCCAAAGGAACTGATTTTCAGAAAATTTTCTGAAGTTTGGGCAAAGTACTAATCATTTCAGGAAGAGGGAACAAACAAATTGAACCCGTTAACTTCCAAGAGAAGCAGGAGTTTTTGTGTGATAACATCACCACCACCAATAATGATTAAAAAAAAAGCAAAAAAAAAAAAAAAAAAACCACCCCCAAACCCCAGCAACCATTTATTCACTGCATGCAGAAGCCAAGCTAAGTGTCTTCCTCGAATCCGCCCCTCCCCGCATTTCCTGCTGTCTACTTCCACCATCCCCAATTTACAGATAAGCAAACCGAGGTTCAGAGAGGTTAAATTAAATGCCTGAGGAGACAGCGGGCGGGGGTGGGTGAGGGGGAAGCAAAGCTGGGATCCACACCAGGCAATTTGATCCCACAGCCCACAGCAGTCTGAACCACTATGTAACATTGTCTCACAAACATCCCTAAAATCTGCTCCATCTCTTATCACCGACAAAGCCTTGGATTTGCTGGTGGAGAGAAGAATGCTTGAAATCTAACTGGGCTCCTCTAGTATCTGTTTTGACAGCCGAAATTAATTGTTCATTTTCTGAGCCCTTTTTGGCAAGTCTTTCTAATGACCCGAGCTGCCGTCTCCTTCCTCTGGGGCTGGGCAGGTCTCCCCGGTGCGGAGCTCGGGGGTGGGCCCGAACTCCAGCGGTCCAGCGCGCGGGCAGACTCCAGGATCTTCTGGGGAAGGACGGAGTTGTGCTCGGCCCTCTGGGGTTGCTGAGAAGGACGGTGAGCAATCGCTGCGTCTCTGATGAGACTGCAAGCCTCAGAAAGCTGATTAAACCAAATGCGATAATGGAGTTGAGCCTATCTCACATCTGTGCCGTTCCTCTTGCCAAAGCACAATGAACCGTCTTTCTCACACCCCATCTCAGCGCCCTCCGGGGAACGGGAGAGGTCGGTCCTTCCCCGGCACGTTCCCTCGCTGTTGACCAGAAGAGGGAGCAGCTTCCGCTGGAAGATGAGGCGTAGACAGACACCCGTCGGAATGGCCACCCATTTCCCCAAAGCCTCGGACTTAAAAAAATTTGTGGAAAAATGCTCCCGAGGACAGAAAACTATCAATATTCTCAGGTAGTTCTGAGCCCCTGGATACCATTTGGGGCAACTTGATTTAAAAAGGTAAGAAGCTGTCCCTAAATGTGCATTAATTATTTGAGAAGACCCTCCACATCCTTGATACTGTTATTGTCAAGATACCCACGTACTAGTGTCTGAAACAGAAGGCATGAGTCTTCTGTGCAAAGTACTAATAAGATAAAAATGTAAAAGAGATTATGTGGACAAATGCCTTAATTTCCACCCCTCCTTAATTTCTCTGGGTTTCTTTCTTGCCAATAATATAGGATGCAAGTAAATGGGAGAGGTTAATGTTTGGCTTTGGATGAGAATGTTAAAGGTGAAGACTTCCTGATAAAGGTGAAGACTTCAGGCTGAGTTTTCAATTAGGAGGAGAAAAGTCCATTGAAGAAGGGAAAGTGATTCTTACAGGTGAGGATGGGATGGAAGAAGAGATGTAAAACAAGATCAGTCACCAGTGTCTGCTTACAGCTGAACGAATAAAGAATTAGGATCAAGCAGACTTGTGGCAGACAAAGGAAGATGAACATGAAACATGAACATTTGGAGATGAAAGCAGTGGGAATGACTGAGGCTTCCCTGAAGAGTAAGGAGATGCTGGCAACCTCAGATAATGGGGGAGGCATTTAAAGCAGTGGGTCGCATAGGGGAAAAATTCAAGAAGTAAAACCAAAGATATTGGGGAGGTCAGACGTACTCATTAGCCAGGTAAGGTCCCAGTTTATACCTGCTGCCAGGGGGAACTTTTAATAGCTCCTTTGTTGACTGTCCTACAGTCCGGGTTTGGTTGGTAAATGGCAAAGTCACACTAGTCTTAGTTTATACAGGGTTTGTGGTCAAGGAGTAAAGCACCTACTTAGCTATGCATATGGAGAGAGAGGCATATATTCTGGAGAGATTGTCACACACACACACACACACACACACACACACACACACACACACACACACACACACATGAGAAAAACCCTACCAGGTAGTGGGAACTGTGAAAAGTCACCTAACTGTTGATTCCTTGTTGCAAGGGGACATAGTGTGGGGACCATGAGGGAATGGTGAGTCGCTCCCTTTGATAGCAGAATCCCCAGGGACAAATGATATTTATTAAATAAAAGAATGTTGAACAAAAAATCCGCACTTGTTAGATAAATGAAATTGTGCTCAGGTGGAGGGAGCAGAGCTCGATGTGAAGAAGGGGCGAGACCAGAGCCTGAGAGAGACTATTTGGAAGCAGGGTTCAGTTTCCTGGAAGAAGCGTGGAGGGCTCTGTGGATTCTCGCTCCGAGTGGGTTGGCCTCAGTGGACAGACGAGAAATACAAAGGCCATGTTTTGGGGCCTGAAGGAGATGTAGAGCAGGTGAAGCTTCGGGGCTGGAGAGGCAGTGAAGACCTCACGTCTAGCGTGTGCCAGCAACCGCGCCAGGTGTGAAACAGTGGGGAGTGGTGCATGGGGCAGCCCTCACCGTGATCCTGGTCTGGCACTTAAAGACAATGACAAACAGCAATAAATCAGCGTGATAATGTTAGAGGAGGGCAGTCAGGAAGGTGGGGAGAGACTCCTGCAGGAGAGGGGCTCACGCTGTGGCCAACCTTGGAGAAGGACTAGGGCTTCTCCAGAGGCAGGGTCGGCGGAGGGAAGATGAGAACATTGTGGAGGGATCAGTTTTGCAGAGAGCTGCAATGGGCATGGAGAGTGTCTCTAGAATTAGAAGGCAGGTGGGGGCACAGGGTGAATGGTCTTGAATTCAGAGCCAGAGCACGTACATTTCATCCCGTGGCTCAGCGTAAGTTGTTAAAGCAAGGGAGTATTTCACAAATCAGTTCTGAGCATTGGATGGAAGGACAAATTAAAAGATGGAGAGATTGGAACAAGGGAGACAGGTGAGCTGAGAAAGCTCTTGATATAGTGGAAGAAACATAGAGGAGGGGATGGTGCTCAGGGACTCTTGGAGGGTCTACTTGAAAAGTTCCAAGGGCAGTTTGGATGTGGAAGATGAGGGAGAGAGACGACTCAAATATTTTGACTATGAGGAAATTTGGGGAGGGTGGTGAAAGGAGACAGCCCCAGAAACAGAACTTCAGAGATGTAAGAAACGAGTTTGGTGAAAGAAAGCAGAGACAGGTTGAGAGAGCTTAAGCCTGGAGGGGTTGAGATGGGGTGAGAATGTGATGGGGGGAGGAGACAGAGAACAGGAAGGAGAAGGGTGGAGGTGGGCTCGCTGCCAAGGCTGCGAGAAAGTGGTTTTGTCTTGTTTTCTAAGATGGATGGGAAAGCCTGGGTATATTTGGTTTTGATGGGGTTATAGAAACAGAAGGAAAAAGCTGATGAAAAATGAGGGAGATTCTGTGGTCACCCAAGAAAGCAAACAGTTCCAGCAGCTGTTACAGTTCTGGTAAGAAGTTTAGTACCAGCAGGTATTCTAATTCTTGAAGACGATGCTGGCGAGTTAAAATCCAGGTGAAGACTGGGGAAGGAAGGCAGAAAAAGAAATGTTGCTAAAGAGGTAGAGAGCAGCCAAGGATAAAAATGGAACTGATGTGTGTTTGATAGGGATTAATATATCAGTAGAGAAGGAATGAGAAAAAGAGGGAGGGTGTGGAATCCTGTGGGTGCTGATGACACAGGAAAAGATAAGAAAACCAGAAAGCAAGTTGACGATGACAGTGGGTATCGGTTGTTTTTGTCACCTGACATTCATACTTCTTGAGGTGAGAATGCTGTGGGTTTGTTTTGGAGAAAGCACCCTTAGTCAACATTTAACTCACATGATTAGAGTTTGGTTGATTGCACTGAAGCCCAGCATGGCAATGTGAGACCGAGTCTAGTCCTAACAGTGTGTTCTACCCTCTGGGCACGGTGATTGGCACCTGTGTATGACATGGCTAAGTCAGAGCGAGGGAGGCTCCACTCTGGGATTCATTATGGTGCTACTGGGGGAGAGAACACTTTGTTTAACCCTGGACTTGAATCTTAGAATATAAACTGGAGTTGCTACAGATACATTACAACTTTGAGGGGAGAGCCCATCAGAGACTATGGACAACATGGTGAAATGCACAGTTCGCAGGTAAAGAGAAACCAAGCCCCACGGTATCATCTGAGCCTCAAGCTTGAAGAGAGCCCTAGCTCTGGATGGCCTTTGGTTTGGGTTTTCTGACTTGCAATAGAAAGTTACAATGGATAAAAGGATATAGAGGGAATGTTATGGAAACACCAAAAGGTGACTGAAGAAGGAAGATACTTGAATATGGGAGTGGAAGAGAGGCACAAGCAAAAGAGATTGTTGGAGTTTATCAAGTCAATAGGGATTGAAAGGAGAGTATGGCCTGACCGGACATTTAACATGCAGAGGGCACCCTTGAAATATAGTATATTTCACTGATGGACATCAGCCTGGGAATAGAAGCTGCTCTGGGGATTCAAATATATTTCTTTCATGAACACAAAGAGAACAACCTGTAGTGATGATCATCACACTCTGGTAAACTGATAGAAGCCCATTCTCTCATTCATTCATTTGCTTGGTGAAAGTTTGTTAGCATCTGCAAAACACCATGTTGAGAATCAGAAGGTAGAAAAGGCATCGTCTTCTCCCTCGAAGTGATTCCTTGAGACAGGGCAGCAGTCAGATGTCATCATAGTTCTGGGTGGTCTGCAGACTGGAGAAAAGTCCATGAGCTTGAGCTCAGAGGGAGCCAGAGGGAGGAATCTATGTGGCCATAAGTTCATGCAAGTTGTGCATCTATCAGATGCCTCAGATGACTGCTGGTTTTGGCATTGGCAGTCTAGGTGAACTTTGTTCTCTTTTGGAGTCTCGATCCCACATTAGAAAAGAGGAATGTGGTTCTCTCACTTTTCCTGTTCTGTTTCTCTTAATGAGAATGGACACTGACTTATTAACTGTGCTAGCCTCTGGTTATTGTAGGATGCTGTTCGTTCAGGCAATCACATGTAGGTTTTGAAAGTCCTCTTGATTTTCACCAACTGGTTGCACTAAGTACAGTTCTTTTTTTAAAAAAAATAACAAAACTATTTTGTATATCTAGGTCCAATGGCAGGCTCACTCTATTTGCTTTTCAGAACCATGTGTCTAAGCAGCTGCAACACATTCGATGCAATGAAAAAGCAATTTTTGTCTTGAAAAGAAACACCAACATTTCTCCCTCTGTAAGCCTGTCCAGATGATCATAAGCCAGATAAGACCCTGAAACAAATTCCCTTTTACCATTTATAATGAAAAAAAAAACTCCTTTATTCCCAGCGAAGCCTCCCTTTTCATTAATGGAAACACAGCTCTTATCTTGATGTATGTGTAGCTGGTGCTTCTTCAGTTCTGACAACAAGAAAAGTGAGCATCAGAAAATAATGGAGCCCTGAAAAATTGCTGTACTGATATCACTGAAATTTCTCCTTTTTTCAGGCCAAATCCACCCACGTGTCATGTTTGAGAAATGAAAAACACGAGAGACATCTGTTAAGTCGACAGTCTGCAAAAGGGTTTTTCTTTTAAATAGTCAGCAATTATTTAATCAGCCTTGAACACTCTTCTAGGTACAGTGACAGCTAGTAGAAAGGAGAAGACATCCTCTTTTTCAGAAGCTTCTAACTTGAAATGGTCAAAAACTGTTAGGAAAATAAATGTAAAAAGCTGCAGCATTTCAGAACCTCTGGACTCAGATGTCGTGGCTGCAGCTTCCTGGGCCATGTGCCATTCTTACGGCATGTGATAAGCAGAAAAAATGTACCATTCTCTCATTCTTCGCATACTTTGAGATGAGTGAAAAATAAAAATAAATTCTACCCTTGAGGGAAGCCTTGCCTACCCAAACTGTCCTCTGTGGCAATCAGGTGGTGCCAAGGTCTGGCTAGTGTTCAGTGATGAGCCCCCAGCACTTACCGTAGAGCACAGATCTGTAGCTAGTTCAGAGCTCCATTGTTGCCATAAAGCTCAGGTAGTTGATGTGTTCTTCTTGCCATCTAGAATGATTAAAACCAAGGCCTATATAATATATTTGCTCAAGTCCTTTTAACTGGATCTTCAGGCTAGACAACCTGTCTTTAGTTAGTCTGGAGTGGGCCAGGGCCACAGAAGGAGGAAGCAAGGATGAGCGACTCCATCATGAGATGGTATCCAGGGCATTTAGAGCTGTCACAGGCTTTGGGGTTTTCTGCTGACTCTGAGTAGGCGACGAGGGCTCTGGCATGGGCACCTCGCTCACTTACAAGAGCTTGACTGGGACCTGACCACCTCATGGTGCATGCGTGCATGCTAAGTTGCTTCAGTTGTGTCCGACTCTTTGAGACCCTAGGGACTGTAGCCCACCAGGCTCCTCTGACCGTGGGATTCTCTAGGCAAGAACACTGGAGTGGGTTGCTATGCCCTCCTCCAGGGGAATCTTCCTGAACCAGGGGTCAAAGCCATGTCTCTCACATCTCCTGCATTGGCAGGCACATGCTTTACCAGTAGCAGCACCACCATTTGCAAGACCTTGACTAGGAACTCACCACCTCATGGTAGCCTTATCCAAAGTCTGAGACACCTTGACCAAATACCAACTGCTCTGTCCACTGATTGGTGGTTGGTGAAGTGCTCTCCCTTGCTCTTGAAAATTCAAGATGTGACCTAAGTATTATAGACTGCATATTTCCATCTCCCTTAAATCCATATGTTGAAGACCTAATTCCTAATGTGATGGTTTTCAGAGATGGGGCTTTCGGGAGGTTATTAGGTCATGAGGATGGAGCCTTCATGATGGGGTAAGTGCCCTTATAGGAAGAGAAATAAGACAACTTCCTTTCTCTCCCTATCTCTCTCCCTCCCTCCCTCACTGTCCCTTTTATTCCCTCTCTCCTCCGTCTCCCTCTTTCATGTAAGGATTCAGCAAGAAGACATCTATCTGTAAGCAAGGAAGTGGACTTTCACCAAAACTGAACTGGCCAGCACGTTACATTGCTCTTGGATTTTTCAGCCTCCAGAACTGTCAGGGATAAATGTTCATTGCCTAAGCCGCCCAATCGATGGCATTTTTGTTATAGCAGCTCAAACAAAGACACGTGAGTTGTTCTGCCTGTCTCTATTTCCCTGGGCAGTTCAACACTAACTTCCATAGCAGATAGTCTGCGTGGTCCCTATTTCTTAACTCATTTCTTTATGCCAGGTTTCACCTCACCATCAGCCTAGCCAACTGGTAATATTGAGTTCCAACTGAACCAAAGCTCACCCAGAAAACCCTTGATGCCAGTGTGGGATGGCAGCATGAGACCCATTGCCATCATTTTCTGAGAGCAGAATTCTATGAAGGAAGTAGATAAACAGATGCTCAGCTGAAGAAAAAGAGCAGCAGCTACTGCAAAGACTAGATCCCCTACAATGTCAAGACAACTATCTACAACATTTTGCCCAAGGGTTCAAGGCAGCCATCAGCAAA